TATCTCTGTGACTTAAACTGTGTTTCCGGAGCTCAGGAAGCCGCCTTGATTGATAGCACTAACATAAGAAGGCACCGAGCTAATTAAATCACGCTGCCGCTTCCCAAGACTGCTGTCACAGGCTGACCTAATTTTGACGCTACAAAGCTTATCAGCAGAGTATCTATTGAGTTAGGGGAACCATAACGCTGTTTCTAGGAACAGATAGATCTATTTTATCCCCCCCCCCCTTTACAACTCATTACACTGCTGTTTATTGTTCCTCCTGCTGAGTAAGTATTAAAAACTTATGATCTATGGCATATGGTCTCTGTCTGTTGGTATCTGTTTCTGGAACGGTAGGTATGCTCCAGTTCAGAGAGGGATGGGGAAAAGGCCGTGATAACTCTTCAGACATGAATATGGGCTGAGATCCTTGTCTCTGTTATGAACTTTTCTTATTTAAAGTGATTTGGAATAATGAAGCCATCACTGTTGCATCTCCTGAGCAGGCATAATCTGCTCTCCTGCTAATTGCAGTGAGCTGCTGGCGGCTGGCTGAAGCTGGCAGGGACCCCGTTTTGTGCTGGTGAAGCACAAGAGCAAACTTGTGCAAGGGTTTTGTGCAATTTCTTTGTTGTTCTTGGTCTGATGCGTGCGAGTCCAGGTGCATAGATCCAAGATGAATCAATACATACCAAAAGGTGAAGGTGGCTGGGGACATGTGGAAAAGGAAGAGGAGGAGAAAGGCTTCACCTTCTTGCTGTCACTGGAAGACTGGGAAGCTGAGGATGCTTTTTGTGGAGGTTCAACCCTCTTCTCAAAAAAATAATTTACCCTTCCATCTGTTTTTAGTTGGACAACGTCACAAAGTCACATGTAAACAAATATCCCATGCCCTAGAAACTTCTGAGTTTAACTTAGAAATCATGAATAAATACTTTTTAGATTTTGTGCATCTTCTGTCAGTTAGGAAACAGTGCAATCACAGTTGCATAGACTTAGACTTTTTTTTTTTAAGAGCTGAAATGGCCATTTATTAATAAGATTACAGCAGCTACTTTTTTAGAAAAATACCAGTTATTGTAAAAGTTGTGATTAAGGTCAAGAGAGTTACCAGCACGTTAAACAGAAAGGCAGACTGGAGCACTCCAGTTGTGCAAGGTCTCTTATTCACACCACAGCTACACAAACATACTATAAGTCATGAAGGATCTTCTCTCTGAGTATTATACTAACTCTCATTTGTTTATTTGCTTTTTCTGGGTGACCAGCTTGGTTTGAAAAAAAGCCCTCTTTTCTACTTACTCCTGCAGTGCCTTAGAAAATAGACTTTATTCTGCATGTTTCCCTTCAAAGGTAGCTAGCATTCATCACAGCGTCAGGTTCGTCCTTTGTCTTTTTTTATTAAGTGCACCTAGATACCTGTATACATATTCAACTTTGGACATTTCTAATTTTGCCTTCACAGAAATTTTTCTGATTCTTTTTTTCTTTTTTTTTTTTTTGGGTCTGTGCTGTCTGGGGAACTTGTTGCAAGTTGAAACCCAATCACTTGTGTAGGCGTGTATGTGTGTGCAAGAGACAGAGAAGGGAAAGAAATTGAAATTGCTGGAAAAGAGCAGCCAATAAAGGGGGCTTATGTAACGTCAACATATAACGAGATGTGGTGAAAGGTCAGGCTGGCACCATTTTTCATCTGAAAGAAGAAATCTCATCGTGCTGCACAACTTCTTTGCAGCAGAAGTTAGGCGGGGTTGTCCTTGGGTTTGTTGTTAAGGCTTTTCCTTCTGACCTGACACTTAGCTTTCCTTGCGTCGTGTGCGCGCGTTGCCGGGAACAGCACCGTGATGGATTCTTTCATGCAATATTTACTGCCTATAATCACAAGACAAATTCTTCTAAAGTGCCACAAACAAAATAAATGCTAAGTATATATTACTTTAATGTCTCATCTGCTATTAAATCCTTGGAGGCATATTTCAGAAGTAGCTGTAATGAATATTCCTGCAGTAGAGAGGGAGGTGACATTTCATAATTATGCAATGTCTTCTAAACCATAAGACTTTAAAACTCAAAGAAGTAAGAATGTTTTTTATTTTCCTTTATTCGTTTGATCTCCTCTTAGAGCAGTGTATTCTTTTGCCATAATAACACACAAGGGGGTATTTTTTCTTTTCTATATTGCCTTCCCAAACCTAATGGATATGGAGCAGTGGCGTAGACACTAAAATGAAGGACACTTCAAATGTAATTTGAAGTTATATGAATATAATATGAATGAAAAATGTAATATTAATGTAATATGGATTTAAAAGGCAGCAGGATGTTGGCATAATGTTGCTGACTCTTCTAATTTTATCAGAAGTCTCATGATCTATGCTGAACCTTGTTTTACCTTTCTGCTCTGTGGCTCTGCTTTAGCATGTCAGTATTTTATTATTTGTATTGTGGAGATCATAAAAGCCCCAGTGGTGGCCCAAAGCCCTGTTGTACAGCGGCTGTGCATGGCAGAGCAAGGAGGATGCTCTGTGTCCTGGGACATTGAACTCTTGAAGCATGTGGAGGGGAAGCAGCTCTTCCTAGCACAGGGAAAGCTTGGTGGAGCATTATTTCTGCTGTTCTACTTAGAAAAGATAATAATAATTAAGAATTAACAGGTTCTTTTAAGGTCACAGTGTGACACATGGGGCTGACTCCTAAACAAGGACATCTCTGTCTTTGCAGGAGAGACAGTGAGCTCCATGGGAAGAGCAACCTGGATCTGTGGTACAAAGGGATGGATAGATTTGATTTTTTTTCTTCTAAGCAGTAAATAGCATCTTTAGCCTTGCAAAGTGCCAGCTGTGTAATCATACGGGGAGGATGCTGGGGCTGCAAAACAGTTCTCCTGAGCAGTAGGAAAGCAAAGCTGAGGTAGCTCCTGTGTATGGAGGCAGGTGGATACACTTGCCTGACTAAACGTGACCATAGGCTGAGCGTTGTGTGTATATTCAGTCATCGTGTCGTACTTGGAAATAACTGATGCTAGGGAGCAATTTTTGCTGGCCTCACAAAACTGCCAAGAGCAGGGATGCATTGGTCTTCAGCCTGTATTCATCTTTGCTAAATAGGGGCTGCCTGCAGATGAGAGGAGACGGCGAGCTGGTCTTTGAAACTCGTCGCGCGGTGGCTCGAGGAGCAGAGCTTGCTGGAGGCTTTGCTTGAGCTCGCTGCCGTTGTCGCAGCTGGAACTGCTGGGCCACCCCTGTCTGATGGCAGGCTGTGAGCCTGGGGTGGGGGGGGCGACGCTTTTTGCTCTTGTGCCCACTTGGTTAGTCTTGAGTGGGCCCACCAAGCTGTTGTCTTGGCCGATCTGGTGGTCTTCTAGACCTGCGTCACCTCGTACCATTAGACTTTGTGAGCGCACCAGTAACGTGGGAAACATCCCTTCCCTGCACGAGCTCTTCTGCCTAAGCTGGTGCTCTGCAGAGAGGGTCTGCCAAGGACAGATTTCTTAAACACTTACTGAAGAGGTTAACTTAGGCCAAGCACGTTGAAAAATGAAAAAATATAGTAGGCTGAGTTGCACAGGGGCAACACAAGGTAGTTGGGAATATTGGGCTTAGTCATTACAGACCGAAATAATTATTCTCTTCCTGTTCATTTAGTTGACCTGACACTGTCCTGTTCAGGGTCCTTTGCTTGAGTCTCATTTTCTTCAGCCTCTGGAGAGCGAGGGTCAGAAATTTGAATTATTAGCAGGCTTGTATCAATTCTAGGCATTGTGCAGCAGTTGATACCACAACAGACTGTGTCAACTGGGAGCCATGGGGGGGTCAGACCAGTATTGGCACGGTCGTGGGGGGTCTGCAGGGGTGCCCCAGCGATGCACCCCAGGAATCCCACGTGCGCTTGATGTGGGTGTTAGCTGAGCAATTGCAGGTTGTTCAAAGAACCAGCAGAGTGGTGCGAGAGGGAGGCGATGTGCAGCCCAGAGCCCTGAAAACGGAGCTGTGGTCTTGGGCAGGGGGGTACAGCTGCTCCAAGGGACCTGGGGAGCACGCACCAATGTTATCCCAGCAGCACGGGGCTCCTGTCTGTGGGAAACTGGACTGGGAGCTCGACAGCTTCGAGTCCTGTTGGGCTCAGCTCTAATTGTTCTGCTTGTTGGTTGTGATTTAAGACTTCAGTTAGGACTTTAAGATTAATCCACTTTTACTGAACAGGAGCAGCACACAGATGAGCAGAGAGGGTGAAATACCAGGTCTTTAAAACTCTCCAGAATTAAATTTTATCTCTTCTGCTGTTTAGTTTATGTTACTTTATTTGGCAGTAGGACTGTAACTCGGCTTTCTTATCCTATCGATCCACTCTGAAAATTTTAATAGTTGTGAATTTTGCGGTTCAGAAGTAAAGAAAATTGTAGAGCCAGGAACATGCTTTGGAGACTTGCCAAAGCAGAGCAGTGATTTGTACCTGCGGTATTAGCAACAACATTGCAGTTTTCCTACATGTACAACCTGTAAAACAGCGTAACTTCCTGTAGTTCAGGTTGCATATACAAGAAAATTAAAGTAAGGGTTCTGCTTGAACTTAACCTCTGGTCCAAATCCTGATCCCTTTGGCAGCAAGAGGATTTTGGTATCGACTTTGAAAGGAAGCAGCATCAGTCCCACTGTTTCTCCTGCTTAATTTTAATGGTTTAATTAAGGCTTCTCATTTGCATAATGAGTGTGATAATGCATTTAGAAAGATATATAATAAAAAAGAACAATAACGCGGAGTTCATTTGGAAACGGAAACAAAAATAACTGGAATGCAAATGAGATTGCAAAGGTTTTGTTCAGGGGATCGCTAGGTATTAATAAATACCGTGGCAATCCCTTCTGGTGCCCGATACTCGCGTGCTGAGTAAGCAAGGGTATTCTCCATGGTGAAAATACTCAGCTCCAGCCTCGGTCCTCCCAGCTGGGGGGTATGCAGGGATCCCAGGCTGCTGCAGTGGAAATGGGTCTGAGCAAAGCCCGGGGGTGCAGGCGATGACGCTCACCTGGTTTCTCTCTCTGGGTCTTGCAGCCCCCCCCACTGTGCGGATCGTGCACTCGGGCCTGGCGTGCAACATCGAGGAGGAACGCTACTCGGAGCGGGTCTACACCATCCGCGAGGGCGAGACGCTGGAGCTGACCTGCCTGGTCACCGGCCATCCTCGGCCACAGGTGAGCCCCCGCCGTGCCCGGTGGCAGCCTGCCACTGGTCACCGCACCTCTCCTCTGCTCGCTCTGTCTCTGAGCCCGGGTAGGTTGGCTTCATCTTCTGCTACGGACTAGACTGGTGCGGGGTGCTAGACATCAACGCAACGGGATCCCGGGTGGGGTGGGGGGATTTGTCCAGGCTGTTGGTTTGATATTGAGGTGTTGCAGAAGGAACACCAACAGCAGAAAAGTCTATGATTCTTTTTTTTGAATGCCTGGCTAGGAACGCGATACTAAAATCAGCAAGTCTATGTTGTACGTTAAAATGGGGTCCCGACGTGGGTGTTTGGGGTCCATGGAGGTTGGTAGAAGGAAAGGAAAAATAAATGTGAGGGCAGGGACAACTGCAAGTAGACAGTATGCACCAGAGTGAACAGCTGGAGTTGGGGGCACGTGAGAGCTCGGGGGAATCTCGCTGCGTGCCTGGCTGTTGGACGTCATTGGAACCACAGTGTTGCAGCCCTACAGAAAACAAAAGTCAAACAGAAAGAAGCTACCCATTTCCAGGCCTAGCTCTGTTTTATAGCATCACATTCAAAGCCAAAGAGTCTTGTCAGCTTGTGCTACAGCTGTGTCCCCCTGTCACCCTCCCCCTTTGCCCAGGGTACTCTGCTAACAGGTCATTTTAGGTCGGGACTTTTTAAGACCTGTGCAAGTGTAATGCTTTATTCTGCCCCCCTCTCTGCTTTTCCATTTCCATCTTTTCCTTTGCTCTTTGAACCAAGCCTGTTCTCTGTTCCCTCTTCTGCCATTGCCACTCTGCCTTCTCTGTGGATAAACAAGCTGAGTACTGAGAGCTGAGGGTGCGTCTGTAATTAGCCAAGATTACCACATTTCACAGTGCACGTATTTGTATGAGATTTTGAACACTAGAATAGCTTGCAAGGATTTTCTCTGCAAGGTGGTGAATTAAACACCTCCCTCTTGGAGTAGCATAGGACAGGCAGGAGCTGTGAAGTGCAGTTCGCCGGGGTGGGAGCTGGGGAAGGGGGATTCACTGGGGACCTCAAGTCTGCAGATGAGTGATATTCCTCCAGGAAGGAGAGATGTGCTGATTTTCTGCCGTTTATTCTGTAGCTCTTTCCAGTTTAATGAGAAGATTTAAAAATAAAGTTGAAGTTTAGCCTGTGCTGGTTCCAGGGAAGGCATAGGTCAGGCTGTGTCTTAGAAAACTTTACTTTAACTGCACACAGTTGCACTCTCTCAGCTGCAGTCACACATTAAAGCCACGTTCTAAAACAAGCCTTTTTTCTTTTAAACTAAGTGATGTCTATCTAGCCTTTGCCAAGTGAAGGAGAAAGGAAAGAAAAAAAAAAGGCCTAAAAAAAAAAAAGACTGGGCTAAGTGTCTATTTTTCATAACACCCCAAGTAAGATCAGTGGTTTTAAGATCAGTTCTGTTGTTATGTTTGAGTAGAAGTAAATAGCACGTTCATATGCAGGCAGAAAAGAGCAGGCTAAAGGTAGGCTGACACTTCCAGTGAGCTTCTTTGGAGCATGTTTCTTTCTCAAACCATCTCTTCCATCTGCTCCAGCAAAGCTGACCAGCAGCCTGCAAGGTTTGGTGCAGCCGAAATCAAAGATCCCTCTCAAACCTGCCTGCCTTGGAGGCTCGAGGCAGCTTCAAAGCCAGCGGGGCCGTTATCCATCAGGAAATGCTTTGGACCGGCTATGAAAAGTGCCGTCTTGAGCAGTAACAAAGCTTATGATGTTGCTGAATCAAAAAAAACCCCCGTGTTCAACCAAAACGTCTTATCAAGAAAACAAGCACACGGCTGCTTTTTTCACAAAAATCTCTAATTTCTTATCTGGGATTCAGGATAGAAAATTGATTTCTCTTAGTTTTACCTGTTTATAGATTTTTTTTTTTTTTGTCAGCCAGCACCTTGGTCTGCTCTCTTGCGCTCGGTCTCTTGTTACAGCTCTGAGACTCGCAATATTTTTTGCAGATTAATTGCCTGAGAGCAGGGGGATAGTTTTGGTAGTCTCAGATGGGTGATTCTGCAGAGAAATACAGGAGGCTTGGCAGGGTTGCATTTGAACATTAGCCTTTTTATGACCTTCCTATTAAATTTCCATCCAATTTTAGTGCTCCAAAAAGTAAAAAAAAAAAAAAAGCCTAAGACACCATAGCTTTTTGTGTTGTCATATTTAAACTTCAGCATGCTACTCTGTGGGAGCCGCAGCCCCTTGGACTCGTTGCCTGTGAAATTTGGCTTCTCTTAACAAAGACTGCTGTGAATCACACCAACATTTGTGTTGCTTTTGTCAGTGGGGCTGCTGGGGAAAAGCACTGATCTGGGGTCAGGCAGGAGATCAGGGTGGATGTAAAATCAGGAAGCTGGTGCTCGCTGTTTCCAGCTGTCAGAGAACTACTCTCACTTGCCAATAATTACTCTTGGGTATTTTAAATACAGATAGTGTAAGACTTTTATTTATTTTGCTTATTGGATGCATTCTGCTTTATTGGATGCATTCTGCTTTATGGCCCTGGTTCTTTAGGGGGAGGTCTGCAGTGTGTTTCTGTTGTGGCTAAGAGGCAGTGGCTGGGTGGCAGGGGTGATATGGCATTTATTTTTAAGCCTTCCTTTTTTATATGTGCAGAATTTGTATATGAAACTTGTTAAAATATTATTGGACTCTCATGTTCAGACAGCATTTATGAGATGGGTTTGAGGGGGAGTATCTGGTAAGGTGCTTCCTATTCTCCTTGCAAATGGAAGTGGTGAAAATACATTTTTTATTTTCTTTTTTCTGCAGGAGACTTCCATCCATATTTTGTGGTAATTGCCAGTCTTTTCAGTACTTCAATTTTTCACTGATTTTTCCACAGAAGGTTATCATATTTGGTTTGCAAATTGTATGGAAATTATTTTCAAAACGATATTTTATCAGACCCTGGGAAGTGAGTTTATAAAATACGTAATTATGTATCTATTCTAAGAATGCTATTCAACTTGCATGTGTTTCTCAAACTTTTTCAATTACTACTGGCATACATAGAAACTCTTTGTTTTAAACACCGTAAGAAGTAAGCAACCCTGCACCAGGCATTTATAAAATCCCCTATTGGCGTTCACTCTATTCCCTCCCTTCAAGTCATGAGTGGGCAGAAAACACACACGAACTGAGGAGAAGAGGACGTGGTGCAAGTGCGCTGTGGGTCAATTGATGAGACCGTCCGTCCTGCACCCTTCTTCCAAGAAGTGGCCTTTGCAGCTGCTGGCGTGATTTGGCTCTCCGCCTTGCAAAAGCTCTTCAGTCTCTGGAGCTGTTGTGGTTTTGGTTCTCGGAGGCTGCATCGCGTTCACTTCTCCCACCGTGGCAGTAACCAAGTCACACTGCAGTAATGACTGCCGGCTGATGCTGGCCCCCAAAATACATAGTGTGTGGTTACCAGGGTTATTGCTGGCTTGGAGTCTTTGCAGGGTTTTACCAGGTCACTTGGATTAATGAATTGCCGTAGCTTCCTTTATTCGTGTTTTAAAAAATAGGAGTCTGATATGTATGTACAACTCCTATTTTCTGCAGTAAACTCAGGTCTTGGCCAACTGCTGTCCTGTGCTGCTCCTTTACACTTCAGTGGCAACTGCATAAGGGACCATGAGAAATTCTTGCCTGAAAGAAAGGCTGCTGGATGTATCGTGGAGCAGAAGTGCCACACTAGTAGGACAGTGGTTTGTGGAGGGGGACCAGAACGTTAGCGCTGGGCCAAGCAGGAAAGTGGTGCACCTCGGCAGGGGTGCCAAGAGCAACCTGCTTTCTGCACATGCTGTTCGTTCTCTTGCCTTGTCTCTCTGCTAATTGGGATTGCTTTGGCCATCGCAGGTGATGGCGTTAAAGCTAAACGGAGGCTGCCAAATTCCACCTGTAAACACACGTGCGGTCCCCACTGCGTGGATACAGGAGGTGAATTTTGGGCTTCAGTCTTCACAAACATTGTGCTGGTTCATTAACAGAGAGCGTCTGCTTCTGTTTCTGCTCAGTGAGGTATGGGAACCAGGCAGCAGTGCTCAAGTAAAAAGATCATTCGATGTAAGGCTGGTGTGAGTAACAAGCTTTATTTAATGTCCTTAAAGCAAAACTGTGGAATTACCTTCTGCAAGCCTTCAGTTTTGGGAACAGCATTTAAGAGTGGGTGCAAATGCTAAAGCAGAGAGTTCTTCTGATTTGCAAGCTGAGTTTGGTAATTGAGCACCTTAATAGCTAGGGGTTTGGAGCTACAGTTAATTACACCTACAAAATTAAAGTCTCTTTAAAATCATGCACTCTACTTAACAAAGAATTTTTTTTCTTGGTTTGGGGGCTAATTAGCTGCATTCACCTGCTTTCCTGATTCTGAGCTCACAGTAGGTCTCCACAACTATTCAGAGGCAGTTCGAAAGCCAAGTATCTAATGGTTAGTAGAAGAAAATCTCTCATGAACTCTCCTCCTCTGGGTCTTCTTAAGGTCTCAGCCAGATGGCAGGCGGGCATGTACCAGACCTAGCGGTGGGCTGGAGAAGATGCCAGCACTACAGGATGGGTCAGCTTAAGAAGCTGAGCCTAGAGGAGGACCAAGGTGAGCCCTCTGTTTAGCTCTAGAGGACATCAGGTTTTCTCGTCTGATGTTTGTCCAGTTGTTGCCTTTCTGTCAGCCTAAAAGGAGTGCAGTGACTCTGTGGTTTAGAGAGGTGCCTATGAGCGAGCCTCAGACCATTGCTGTAAATTGCTGTGCGAGGAGGTGGTCCTCAGGGAGTCTCCAAAGGCTCCTCTATGTGCTCTGCAACCCCAAGCACCTTTCTCCTCAATCCTCACCATCCCACGGACCATCCCCAAGGAGAGGAGACCTCGCCGATGCTCTGTTGCAGCCTCCTGCGCTGTGGGACTGCTGTTACCACCACAGTGTCTACCTGGTTTTCCATTCTACCACATTAAGAGTTCCCCTGGGATGTAAAGAGAGAGGCAGCAGGTTGCAGATGTGTC